TTTTGAGTGATGGTGTAGCCAAGAAAAATACAGGGGACGGATCGGGGAGCTAGTTTATGAGGAGAGAGGGGTTTTGTCCACGGAAAGCAACGGCATCCAAAAGAGTGAAGAATTGTATAATCTGGAGGAGTTTGATGAAGGAGATGATAAGGTGATTTAAAAGAGGTGGTTTTGGAGGGTAATCTATTAATTTAAAATGCCGCAGTAAGGATAACATCGGACCAAAAGACAGGAGGTAGCTGGGCATCAATGAGAAGAGCTCGAGCCGTTTCTAAGAGATGACGATTCTTTCGCTCGGAAACTCCGTTTTGCTGAGGTGTATAGGGACAGGTAGTTTGGTGTGTGATGCCACGGTGAGATAGGAAATGCCGAACAATGGTGCTGTGAAACTCATCGCCACCATCACTGCGTAATGTGCGTACCGTGGAGTTGAGTTGTTTTTCAATTGAAGTTACAAATTGGATTAAACAGAGAATTACTTCAGATTTTTGTTTAAGAAGAAAAACCCATGAATATTTAGTGTAATCATCAATTAAGAGAAGAAAATAGCGAAAACCATCATACGAGAACACAGGGGAAGGACCCCAAACATCCATATGTATTAATTCTAACGGAGAGTGAGATACATGTGTTGAGGGGGAGAAGGGGAGCCTGTGGCTCTTTGCTAGAGCACATGATTTACATAAAGAGCGTAAAGAGGAAATAGAGAGTGAAGGAAAAGCTTTAGCTAATGCTGCCATTGTCTTGACATTTGGATGCCCAAGCCGACGATGCCAGGAAAGAGCGGCAGTGGAAGAAGCAACAGTGGTAGACGCGGCGACGATGGATGGAGGACAGGGAATGGGGTATAAGCCATTACGACATTGTCCGCGGAGTAGAGACTGCTTGGTCTTCGTATCCTTGACACGAAAACCAGATTTGTCAAAAGTTATAGAACAGTTGTTATCTCGGGTGAGTTTAGAAATGGAGATTAGATGGTGAGTTAAACGGGGTACATGAAAAAGGGGAGTGAGAGCAAGCTTACGGGTAGGTGTGGGAAGAATACCGTTCCCGATATTCTGGATGGGGAGAGGATTACCATTACCAACAAAGACTTGATCGCGGCCATTGTATGGAGTAGACTGCTGAAGTGATTGAGAGTCCGGTGTCAAATGAGCGGAAGCACCACTGTCCAGATACCATGGTGAGGAGTCAGATTCAGTAACGAGAGCAACATTAGAGCTGGAGGGCGGAGTGTAGCTGAAGTTTCCACGATGGCAGCAGTTGGAAGCAGAATGTCCACGTTTGCCACAGATTTGGCAATCACCATCTAAGCGTGGAGTACGGGATGCAGCTCTAGGTATATTGGTGGAGGAGTAGCGACCTCGACCACGTTGGGAAGATGATCGACCGCGAGAGCGGCCTCGGTTGGAAAACAGAGCTGCCTGACCTTCGGAAGAAGTGTTGGAGAAGGAGATTTCACGAAGAGCATCTGTGGTTTGATGTACTTCTTCGCTGCGTAGAAGGGAGTATAAATCATCCAAAGAAATTGGATGCAAGGAGCTTCAAATAGTGGTTTTGAAGGACTGGTAGGAGGGTGGTAAACCATTTAGGATATGATGAAGAACATCTTCATTATCTATGGTTCCGCCAGCAGCTCTAATATTGTCAACAGTGGTTTTGATCGACGCTAGATAGTCGATCATGTTCTTGCCTTGCATAGAGATAGATTGAAGCTCATTCTTGAGTTGTATAACTCTAGAGCGATTGGTGGAGAAGAAACGTTGTTCCAACGTTTTCCATATTGAAGCAGAGGTATCTAACGTGAGAATGTAAGGAAGGATCGCCGGAGAAATAGTAGAAAAGAGAGCAACAGACAGGTTTTGATCTATTAAAGTCCAGGTAGAGTGTTGGGGATTGAGAGTAAGCTGACCATTGGCTGTGAGAAGATGTTTAGGAGGAGGTAAGATGGTTCCATCCAGATATCCAGAAAAGTGATTTGCGGCAAAGAACTTGTAGATTGCAGATCTCCAGGTAGGGTAGTTTTCTGGCAAGAGCTGGACATTGATGACATTTTTGATATTGGCTAAGAGAAACTTGAGTGTAGGCGGAATCACGACATCAGTCGATGTCGGAGGTGGATCGGTCGTGATTCCAGCGCCGGAGGGGGTGCTGGGAGCAGATGCTGATGAATCAGCCATGGAGAAGCGGAGCCGTTAGGCAGTCGGCTCTGATACCATGATGAATCCGAGAAAGCAAGAAGAGCACAATGAGAACGACGATGAACAGTAAAGTGATTGTCTTCATTGATTTTACTGTAGCTCATTACAATGAGTTAAATAGACTAAGATAAGATATTACAATTTACTCTATTACCCTTAACCGTTGGAAAAGTGCTCGGTGTCGGGTTAGTGGAATGTGAGTTTTGCAGAAGTCGACGGGCTCTGCTCCAGTGGCCTGAGTGAGTCGGAGCTGCTTTCCACGTCAGATCCATAGCTCAATTGGTGCTCAGCAAGACCAAACATTAGAGTATTTCTTAGGTTTCATTTGAGACAATTTTTTTATAGCTTCCTGAAGCAAATTTTAATACAAAAATTAAATTTTTTGTAATAGAAAACAGCTTTAAGAAGTAGTAAGAAAGCCGCCACAAACGAAACCATAATGCTATTACTCAACTTGATTTATCTAATGCTTTTTATATAATGACAGCTCTACAAAATAGTTCATATGAGTCGATAATCTGTCTTGTAGATCCACAAAAATCAGATCTTGTTTGTCGCTTAAGAAAGCAATTTATGATCTCAAACAAGCTCCCTATCAAAACATTGCAACTTTTACCTTTCATCTTCATTAGCTTGGGTTTCAAGCAAGCAAAGTTGATCTATATCTACTTCTTCTCGTTCAAGATACTACTTATATCTATATCCTACAGAGTTTTTAGACTGTAATCTTATTTCTTTTTATATTAAGAACAAAAGACAGCTGCGTGATCCTCTTCAAAAGCAGAGTATAGAGCTGCTACTTTATGATGTTAACATTTATGTGGATAACCTACTAAATTCTATTGGGCCAATATATCAGCTCTTTTTCTTGCAAATAATCATGTGTTTCATGTCAAAATCAAAATCAAACACATTGAAATCAACTATCGTTTTATACATGGTTGTGTCAAATCTCAAAAGATTGTTGTGCCTCAAATAGAAACTAAAGATTTTAGTAAGGCTTAGTTTGGGACGGCTTTCTTTCTGCTTCTTAGAGCAGCTTTTTAGTTAAAAAATTAAAATTTTGTACTAAAAAGTTGCTTTAAAAAGCAGTAAGAAAGCTATCTCAAATAAAGCCTAAATCTCTTACTAATGCTCGGTTTCTTAACTAAACAGAACAAGCTAACAATTCAAGATCGGATCATTAGCTTCAGGGGGGTGATAAGTTAACAAGAGGTGAAAATGATATGAAAATTTAGGATTCGTTTGGAATGACTTTTTATTGTTTTTTAAAATAGAGTTTTAGTACAACAATTAAAATTTTAAGATCGAATCATTAGCTTCAGTAAGAAAGCCGTCCCAAACAGAGCCTTAAGCTCTCTTTGGGATGGCTTTCTTAATGTATTCTAAAATGACTTTTTAGTAAAAAAATTTCTAATTCAATTTTTTTTTTTTTGTAATAAAAAATGTACTAAAAAATTATTTTACAAAGTAGTAAAAAAGACATCCGGAAAGAACCTCAATTATTATTTGGTTCACCACTTCTCTGATATGAGAAACAATACCTGCTGCTTTATAGTTTTTTTTTGGACATTTAGGTCATTTAAGGCAAACTCACACACACAACGCATACACATAGGCTCGAACCTTAGACCTCTTAGTTGCAAGCCTAAGCTCTCAACCAATAGGCCAAGGAGAGTTGTGTCTGCTGCTTTATAGTGACATTGATCACTCCTTCGTTTTGTACTCCATTCATTGTTGGTTCTGCAAAAAACAGGAAATGAATACAGATTTTCTCTGCCATTAGCTTTCTCTGTTTTACTGTTCATTCGAATGCAGAGACTTTTAAAAACAGGGACATTGTAGATAGTTTTTGAAGGAGCTGGGTAGTTTATATGCGTCTTCCCCAATTAGAAGCTTCTATTTATAGGATTAATAACAATCGGAAATTGCATCATACAGATATCTAAACTTTTTATTATTATTATTATACAATTATTTAGGCAATTTGTTCCCTTCAATCTATTTTTTAATCCTTATTATAAGGGTTTTTAGGCAATCCCCCCCTAAAAGCTTTAAAATATTATGATCTTTAGGCAATTGCTCCTAGTATAATTAAACGTTTTGTGTAGAGGTGTTATTGTTAGGGAACAATGAACCAAATACAAAAAGAAATATTAAATCAAAATTTGTTCTAGGGCTCTGCCCCCGGAAACCCCCGTAGGGGCACTGCCCCTTGACCCCGCAACTTGACCAGGAAGGTCGAACCCTGCCATGGGGCGCTGCCCCCTTGGACCCCTGACATATTTGCCAACAATTATTTATAAATTTGCCTCCCCTGAAAAATGGCTGGATCCGCCCCTGACCAGATAAGAGATCGTTAACATATGTGACATAATTTTCCATATTTAAGAGCCAAACATGCATTATAAAAATTAAGAAGTCAATTATACGCATTAATGCACAAATTGTGTGTAAAACCAAAGTTGAACGCAGAAGTGTTTCTTGTAAAGACTGATCTGATCCTTTTGAATGATAAAAATAAGTCACTTCAGCATTTAAACTCTGTTCAAAACTTGTCTTCGTTGATGTTTACTGTTAAGTGCATTTAATAGGTAGTATGTGTTTGCTTGGGGTTGTTTGATGGTCTGCTATTCATACTCAGCTAGCCCATAGAATAGAAGAGAAAATCATGCCAAAGGCCTAACATATTCTTTGCTTCTCCTTCCAGCTGTTCTTTGCATATCAGATAAGAGATCGTTGACATAAGTGAGATAGAAATTTAGAGTAGCAATAATAGCCACCTGGAAGCCAACTCCAGAATGAACAGCTCCAAATCTTTAATAGATGAAATAAAATTTATTTATACACGACAGAAGCAAACTGTTTTTTCGACATTATGCATACAAGATCATGATCATCTACAATGGAAGTCTCACAAGATCTATTATTATTTACCCAGCTAATTTACTATTGAATGAAGACCTGGACAACCATCCTCTCTCCCTTTCTTAGCCAGTTGAATTTACAGCAAAACCTCAAATGAAGGAACAAAAACATAAACCCAAACATAAATCTTCAATCTTATCACAGAGTTCTCGACACTTCTTCTGTATCATCAGAGGAAGAGCTCCGGGAACCATTGATTGATTGAAACCGAATCCGCCGGTAGCGACAGCCCATCTACTGAGCACTGCAGCCTCTTCCCAGGCTGCAGCAGCATCAGCTCATCAAGCACATCAAAGGATTGCTTCCTCTTCATTGAACCAAACACCGAAGGAATCGCCAGCGAAGAACCTTGTTGTTGTTGTCCGTCGAAATATTCATAGCCGTCCCCAAGTGGTGAATTTCTCATCAAGAAAGCAGGGTCTAATACTTCCCCTATGCTCTCCCTTTTCTCCTGAGACTCGAAAGGGTAGCCAAGAAGCTGGTTTTCATTCCAGTAAGTCAAGCTGGTTGTTTTCATCTCTTCCTCCTGCTTCTCTTCACTTTGAACGCTGACAGTGAAAGCAGACTCTGTTGGACTGCAGGTCTCAGTCAATTTTCCACTTTTAGCCGGGAAGTTTCCTCTCTGTCTTACTCTGCAGAGAACCCACTCGTCCAACTGAGAAGAAAAGCCATCAAATTTAACATTAGCTTATACAATTTATACCATCAGTCAAAAGTAAAACTTTTGCGGCTTACTCTCATAGAGCCCTTCTGCTTCTGAGATTGAGAAGGAGCAACGACTGAATCCAAGAGACGGTACTCATGCATAACCCATTCAGTCTTAATGCCCTTCGGTGGCCGGCCCTCATAAAAGACAAGAGCTTTCTTGACGCCAATGCAGTGGCTGCCGCCGGCGCTCAAAATAGGTTTATCTGTACCAGTCGCCTTCCAATAGCCCACCCCGGCAGCCCTATTAGGCCGAACACCGTTAGGATACTTCCTTTCTCGAGGACTGAAGAAGAACCACTCTCCCTCGCCGAAGAAAGCCTCTCCTGCAACAAAATAAAATAAAAAATGTTCACTTTTTTTTGTTTTCAGGCCTGCTTACAACAATGAATTCATGGCCGGCTAGATTTACAGATAAAAAAAAAACAGTCTTGTATATTAATAATTCAATTTTGAGATGATGAAGAAGTAATTAATCACCAGGGAGATCCCATGGATTGAATTTGTAGAGGTCAATATCAGCTATAATATTCCAATCTGAGGGCAAAGAAGCAGAGACCTTCTGGGTCAGGTAACAATTGATGAGCTCTTGGTCTGTTGGATTGAAACGAAAACCAGGAGGAAAGTGAGAATTCATGACTTTCCTATTGCCTTCCATAGAAGAAAAGAAGGGGAATTAGAATAGAAGAAAACAGAAGAAGACGATGAAAAGCAATTCGGAGGAAACTAAGCAGTGGTGCTTGAAGAGAGCAAGCAGAGCTACTTCTTAAATAGGAAAATTTTGTGCCGGGAACATAGGAGACATGCCTTTAGAACACAAGGCATAGGTTGGTTTGTTCGGCTCTGATGGGTTTAGTGGAGGGGAAGAATTTGGACTCCCACTGCAACTGCGTCTTCAGAAAATGACGTGAAATTTTTTTTTATGGAGCATGAGAGGGGAGATGAAGCATGAAGGGTTGGCAGAGGTGAGAGGACAGAATAGTGTGATTTTGATTTTATAAGGATTTTGACTTGAGTCGACCAATTAAAACGCCTGTAATTGTGGGTGAGATGGAGATGGTTTGGAACGAGGGGAATGAAGCCAGGGCCTTCGGGCACAAAAAAGGGAGTATCTGGATCCGTTAGATGGCCACAACTTGGTTAATTCAATATTTATGTGGTAAGAAAGAAACTTAAATTATTTCATTTGTGGAAAAGCTTGTGATTAAAAACTGGCATGGATGAATATAAATTAATCTGAGGAAGTTGATCTTTCTATACGTGAAAAGGTTGGAGTAGCTCCAGTAGAAGATAAGATTAGAGAGAGTTGCCTTAGATGATTTGGTCACATAAAACGGCGGTCTTCCGATGACCCGGTTAGGAAAGTAGAGGTGTTAGATTTGACTTATGTTAAGAAAGATAGAGGTAGACCTAAAAAAATTTGGTTATAAAAAACTAGAAATGATATTTTTTTATTAGATTTAAACGAGAATTTGACTTCTAACAGAACACAATGGAGAAAAAGGATTCGTGTAGCCGACTCACGTAGTGGGACAAAGGCTTGTTCTTGTTGTTGTTGTAGGAAGTTGATCTTTCTAAGTATAGAAGAATTCATTCGGTTGTTTTATTGTTCATACAATATTTTTTCGATTGAATTCATCACTTTTTAATCATTGAGAGAGTGTACTGTTAGGAGAACAGAGCTTCATTGGTCTTTTGCTGTCCTCAGTTAGTAAAGATCATGTAGAGATGTTTTATTGCTTTTATGCCAATTTGATCAAAAGCAATAAACTATATTGCAATCCAAAGTTTTTTTTTTACTATCTAGTAGGAGATTATAATTTTGGGCGATCAAGTCAATAATAAGAGCACATCTTTTAGATATTTTGGGTCTATTGTTCATAGTGATGGTGAAATAGATGAGAATATTATTAGTAGAAATTCAAGTTGGATGATAGAAGTGGAGGAATGCATGGGCTTGTTGTGTGATAGAGAAAATTCTATAAGATTGTAGTGATACCTGCAATATTTTATGATGCAAAATGTTATCATTTAAAAGAGAAGCATAATATTAATTGTTACAAAGATGAGGATGCTCACGTGGATGAGTGGCTTTACCCTTAGAGATAAGATACGAAATGAGCATATACGTGAAAATGTTGGAGTGTTTCCACTGGAAGATAAGATTAGAGAGAGTCACCTTAGATGGTTTGGTCACATAAAATAGCTGCCTTCCAATGACCCGGGTTGAAAAGTAGGTATTTTAGATTTGACTTATGTTAAGAAAGTTAAAGATAGACTTAAAAAGACTTTATTAGAAAATATTAGAAATGATATTTCTTTATTAAATTTAGATGAGAATTTGGCTCTTAATGGAACACAATGGAGAAAAAGGATTCATATAGCCGACCCCAAATAATCAGATAAAGACTTATTGTTGTTGTTGCTGTTATTATAATCAATTTATTTTGAAATATTAATAACTTCTCAAATATTAATCCATATATATATATATATATATATATATATAGATGTATATATACATATAGCTTTGAATCTTTTTACCTCTTAGAAATATCTTTGGAAAAAGATTTAAAGGGAAAATATTGATTTAACATGAGTAGTAAAACACTTTTTATTTCTCTTTCAGATTTTATTTTATCTTTCTTATAGAAGTCTTTGTATCTCACTCTTTCAAGTTGTAATTCAAGAAAGAAAAATATATGCATATAAGTAAATTTTCCGAAGACTCAATAGTTGGATGGCATTTAATTACTATATGTGAGTAGTGGGCAAAAAATAATAGTTGGAATGATATTGATATTGGCAATAGGAACATCTTTTGTAAACAAAGTTCAGAGAGAAAATGTCATACCCTCAGTCCAAAAAATAATACACCTTGACAATATGATTTTCAATGAGTTCAATATTAATTCTAAAAGATGTTTTGTATTCAATAGGGTAGAATTCATATATAAATAGTTATAATTAAATATAAATATAAAGAAATAAATTTGATTACATCATTAAAGTATTTAATAATTCTTTAATTATAACAAAAATAAAAAGGCTGAAAATGAAGGTAAAAAAAACTTCATATTGATTGCATCTGAGAGTGACTCGTACGTACTTATTACATTCTTAACACTAGTAAGATAATTTCCTAAATATTTTTCATCTAACACATTTTGTGCATGTTTCATCCGTCGAATGAGCCAACATATAAGTACAAGACATCATACAGAGCAGCTTTGATGCTGCTTATATTTCTTGGAAAAACAAATCCCAAATAAAGTGCACAACATATGGTTCAAGGAGTTTTGGGTTAGTTATTATCAAAAAAAATTCTATATTATATCCTTTTTATTATGCTAATATAAACATTCTATATTTTATTTTTTTATATGCAAAAATATTTTACTAGTTGCCTGAGTATAATGATAATATTAGAAAAATTTTTGAGAAGCACATGTCGACTCACCTGCGAGCCATGTTTAGACTAAGTTGGCCAGTGCTTGGGCCAGCCAAAATTATACTGGGAGGAGGGACCAAAATAGACATAACCGAGCTTGCGACGTTTGGGGCATGGGTAGTTCCCTCTATGCTGGGTGGCTCAGTTCCACACACTGAGCACATGTGACGTTTGATAAGAATTTTATTGTATTTTAATAATTTATTTAATTATGAATACTAATGTAAGTATATTACATAGAGAGTTACTAAGTAGAGAACCGATCGCTATTGAGTTACATGGTCATACCCACAAGTGGCACAAGGACCAATAATGGATGGATGAGTAAGCGAGAAAAGCCTTCGTGAGTGTATAAGTTTTAAATTTTAAGTATCACATGTAAATTAATTTATCTTATATTAATATTTTTAAGAAGAGTATGCACGACTTTGAGAGAGCTAGGCTGGAGCAAGTGAGGGATCCTCTAGGAGATTTGTAGATTATTCTGACTACCGCACTTGATCATAAGTAGTAGGTGGAATGCATAAAGGGCGGGTTTATGATTTAGGCTCGTAAGCCTATGTGTATGAGGGGCAAACCTCTGGTGGCTCTAGCTTCTCAACAAATAGCCAGAAAACTTTGTATAACCAATAGGTGGCTGTCTTATTATCAGGACTAGATCAAGTCTGAAAATTACAAGCTGACATGTAAATGTAGCAAAGTTAGATATTTGATGAGTTGTAGAGACTAAGGGAGTAGTTCAGTGGAAAGTAGTCATCATTGATAGTGCAAGAGAATGACAAAATAGATTCTGATTAAACTTTTATTTTATTATTATTGGATACTTTATTACTATATACTTGTACATTTTATGGTCCATTTTAATTGTGTAACGGACTTGATGTTTATTTAGAACTATTTGGTAATTGCAGAATATCGTTTGATAAAATGTTTTATTACATATAGTAGTAATATTTTTGTTTAATATTGAAATGTAAGGATGATATATTTATGTTTTTCAGGATTATTGTGTTGTAGTATAATTGAGAAAAAAATATCTTTTTTTTTTTTTTTGGTATAGGTTTCCGATAGATTATCCGCTGAAAACATCAATACAATGAATTGATGTACTTTCATGCAGAATAGTTCTGTTGAAAATTCTGGTGCCTAATCTGTCACTAAGGTCTACCGATTAGCTTGGCGGAAATAACTGGCTACTTGATCGTCGGTAATAGGATATTCAAAATTGTAATTTTTTTTAATATAAATTCAAAAATTCAGCTCATTCCAATGTAATTTTGCATCCTAATCAAAAGTTTGATATGGATGCCTTCATAAATTTGTGCACTTTAAAATATAGCTAATTTTTACATCCTAAAATCATAATATAGTGGTTATTCTATTTAGCAAAGTTTTTTTCTTTTTTCATTTGGTTAAAATGTCAAATCAACATCTTTTAGTACTCTTTATAAAAACACATAGGACTAAAAGATGCCATACTCAGCTATCTTTAACCCGCTTTAATAAGTTTCACAACTATTTTAGAAGAGTGTCCAAAAATATCCAAGCCTGGATAATATATGATATATTATTTTAAGAAAATAGCATATAAAAATTCAGTATATATGGAGTAGGCCAATGATTCTATGTGTATATGGAATATTTTGCTTGTGCTTACTACACTCATAAAGATATTTAAGTTTTGTTTGGGACAATTTTTTTACTACTTTTTAAAACAATTTTTAAATATTAAAATTTATTGAATTAGCAATTTTTGCACTAAAAAATATTTTAAAAAGCAGCAGAAGCTTTAAGGGTTCTAAGCTTCGTTTGAGATAGCTTTCGTACGGTTTTTTGAAGTATTTTTTTAGTGCAAAAATTTTTTATACTGAAAAACAGTTTTAAAAAACAATAATAAAGTTATCACAAACAAAGCCTATTTCTTTTGGGATAGCTTTTTTGTTGCTTCTTAAAACAGTTTTTTAGTATAATTTTGTACTAGAAAGATGCTTTAAAAAACGGTAAGAAAACCATCCCAAAAGAAGCCTTAGTGTAGTGGTAGTGCTATAGTGTGCAGCTAATAAAAAAAAATAAAGAAATGAAGATCATATACAAGCAGTATCCATCCTCCTTTTTTCCGTTCAAATCAATGTTATCTATTGAAAACAATCATTTAAAAAATTCTTTTTGAAGATAATATCACATTGAATATTAATTTCCGACTAAAAAACCATTAATTTTCTTAATCTTTTTCAGCCAAAAACAATTGCCAGCTTTCTTTCAAATAATCTGACAACAAACAAAACGTAGACACGACAAAGGATTATGAGTAGAACCAAACCGCCCGGTTTCCGCCCAACAGACTGTAATGCATGCCAGCTTTGCTGTGGAGTTTTGACTTCCATTTATTTTATTGTTTTGTTAGGGAAAAGAGGAGGCCTTTTGTGGAGAGATTGCCTGCACCTTACACGAAGGTCAAAGGCAATTTGGATGCTAGCATTATGT